GTTTGCTCTGCACTTGTCAGATGCTTCACATTCACTACTTCAAGGCCACAGAGCGGTCGAAGCTGTGACTCCAGACAGACCTGGGTTCAGAACCTGACTCTAAAAGGACCCGAGCAAGTGACTTACCTCCTCTGTCCTGTTTCTTCATCTCTGAAATGGGGATACCAATGCTTGCCCTGTTGGGCTTTGTGAGGAGCAAATAAGATGATGGTTGTAAAGTGCTCAATGCTGGGACTTACTTCTTTAATCCTTATGGCCATGCCCTAATGGGGAGCCAATGCTCTCCTTGGCGGAGAGGAAACAAGCTCTCTCTAAGCCTCAGCTCACCTTGATATGGTAAATACCTGGTGCCTGTAGAAAGGACCCTCATGCTTAGTTATCCTTTCAGGCAGGGGCTTAAAGATGCCCAAGTGACCCAGATTCAGGTTACATTCAGGCTGGCTATAGGTGGCCATGGAATGTTCTGAGCTTTTGTACTCCACTCTCTCCTTTCTCTTCTCTTTACAAACTGACAGAAGGCAGGGCTCTGTTCCAGAGGCTGCCAACAGCCAAGACGAATGGCACTGTCCTCAAGAAACTCAGCCTCAGGCAACTCAGAATCTGGAGGGGTCTCCCCAGTTACTCTATGGTATGAAAGACCTACATGTCCAACCATGGGGGATGAGTGTCATCAATTTTGTTACCTCCATAGGATGTATTATATGTAGCCATTAAAAATGGTGTTTCTGAAGAATATTAATGCTCACCGTGTAAAGTTAATGAAAGGAGCTAGTTATAAAGTTGTATATACATTGTGATCTCAATTCTGGATTGAGATACATATATTGAAAAGCTAGAAGAAAATAGAACAAAATACCAACTGTGGTTATCTATGATTAATAGAATTCGGGTGATTTGAATTTTATTTTCATGTTTCTGTATTTTCCATTTTTTAAAACAATAAGTATATAATACTTAAAGAATCAAGGGGAGATACGGGGTTTTTTAAAAAGCCTTCAGAAAGATGCCACCAGCAGCCTCCTTAATGGGGGATCTCTTTGTTTTTGGTGGGTGGTTTGATGGTTTACAAATTTGTTTAAGTAGGACAGAGGAAACATAAAGAGGTTATGGTTTGGCTTTTTATTCCATGCAATTCAAACAACAGGAAAATAGAGGTAATTCTTAATATGGAAAAAAAAAAGTGGGTTGTCACATCAACATGGACTTAACCAACATAACAAGTTCAGGATGTCAAAACGCTGGTTCTGATCGTAAATTTTACTACCTGTGTGACCTTGAAAAAGGCACTTAAACTTTGGGATCTTGTTACCCCAAGTGTGATTCCTGGACCAGCAGATCACCATCTCCCGGGAGCTTGTTTAAAATGAAGAATCTGGGGCCCCAACTCAGACCTACTGAATACAAATCCGCAACTTCCCAAGAAGAGCCCCCGGTGGTTGGTATAAACATTCAAGTTTGCGAAGCCCTGGTCTATCAGCCTGTTCCCTCTGTGGTCAAATGAGGTGGTACTCCCCACCTGAACACCTCACAGGGTTGTGATGAAGAGCACATGAGATAACATAATGCACATAAACATGATTTGAAACTGCAAAGTACTGTACAATTGCTGAGAACTAAAATGTTTTCCATTGTGAAAGACAATAGATGGCAGTTGTGTCGTTGTACAAAATGCTTCCTAGCTAATGGTAATCACTGTAATGGGATCGTTCTTTCCTGATCTTTGCTCATGATACTCTACTGATATTTTCCAGATTATGACCTTTCAAAGATGAGGGACTTCATCAACCAACAAGCTGATGCCTACGTGGAGAAAGGCATCCTTGATAAAGAAGAAGCTGATGCCATCAAGCGTATTTACAGCAGCCTGTAAAAATGGCAAAAGATCTGGGAGTCTTTCAACCATTTCAGAAAACATAATATAGCTTAAAACACTTCTAATTCTGTGATTAAAGTTATTTTGACCCAAGGATTGTTAGAAAGTGCTGAATTTACAGTAGTTAACTTTTTAGAAGTGGTTAACACATAGCTTTCTTGCCATAAAAACTCTGAAAAGTAAAGTTGTATGTAAGCTGAGAGTTTGTATATAGAATCCTTATTTCCTTATAGATTTATAGTCAGAGATGTGTTGGTTTGGAAAAGCCTGTAACGGGCTGAAGTTAAAACTGAACCTTCTTCCCACTGTCACCCCTTGAAGAATTAGAGGGTTCTGTTTTCAAGGCATGCTGGGTACCAAAGTACCTCATAGAATATGTCTGTTACGAGATGTCATTTTCACTACCAGTTCCCTTTTGGGAGTTAAAATAAATTCATGTTTCCTCAAAGCCTCTAGAGCTTAAAGGATAGCTATCTGCTTTGTTGGCTGTTCCTGCTGGCTCTTTATCATGCCCAATGGCACAAAAAGGAACCTGAAAAATGCACATAGGATTTGCTGGATTTATTAGCAGTTTTCCCCTACTCTTAACACTTTCTATTAGTGAGTTTTCAGACATTGAGCTTAAGAGAGATACCTATGTACTCTCCAAGAAGAAAAATGAGATCATAAACACTACACAAAGCAGGGTAAAAATTTATGCCAGATCTCAGTTATCTAAACTGAATATGATCCAAGCCAAGGTTTCTCAATAGAGAGCAAGATGGCCAGGCAGTAGGGTAGAAATAGAGAAAAATATCATTCCCTTCTCTGTGAACAAAAGCTGGGCGATGAACCTCCCTGGAAGAAAAAGTTAATGAACTTTGGATCCCTGCAATTCCTCTTCCTCAACCAACCACAAACACAGCCCTGGAGACAACACTCAGTGGCCCAAGGTCCTCCTGAAATGTTAATGGGCAATGTTCCCAAACCAAAGAATGCTTTGAAAATGTATTATTCAGTGTAAATTAATTATGCAAATATTTTTCTATATATCTCAGTTAGAAATCATAAAAATTATAATGCTTTGTATATTAGCTGTCACTACTTCAAATGGCCTTCTGTTTCCTGTCTTCAAAGCCCCTACTTGGTATTCACTTTTTGGTGAGGGCTGGGGAACTCAAAGGGAAGCTGTAAGGGGCTGTTTTTCACGGGTAGGAGAGCACTGCTCCTCATCCACATCTCTCTCTATAGTTGCAAATACAAACAAAAACCAAACTGACACACACGCAAACCAAACTCAGTATGTTCTAGAGAAGCCAGTACTCACTGGTGAGCATTGAGAGGGAACTAAAAACACCTGTGCCCAAGCTGCACTTGTCAAAGCACCACGAGTCAGACTGTTTCAACGAGTCATCTTTGATGACAAGACCGACTCCACTGGACCCACATCCTATAGTCCACACAGGCTACTTCTACATCAGAGAGAAAGAACTGGCTGTGACTACAGCATTTTATCTATTTGCTTTTCTATAATTTATCTAAATATCTGTGCAGTATTTTTAAAAATAAGAAATTTACTTAGGGAGTTTATTGTAGCTTTCTGAGCACATTGACATTCATTAGCTCCTATTGATACCCAAGACAAAAGGGAGAGAGATCATCAGTCCTGTTTTAGAAATGAGCAAACTGGTTCACAAAAAGAACGAGAGCACAGGATATGCTCAAACTCGAATGGCCAAGAAGTGGTAAAGCTAGGACCAGAACCTAGGGTTCTTGTCTCTCAGCCCACTCCTCCACAAGGATTCTACATGCGAGGCAGGGACTCAAGTACTCTAGTCAGGACAGTTCAGTTGTGGCCACGACGAATTCAGTCTTTACTAACTTGAAGAAGGGGAGAGATGTTTTGGCTAGAAATTGCTAAGAGAGACCTTAGGCAAAAATAAAATATTCAGAAAAATGTTTTTGAGATTGTGGTCTTAATTTCAAATTTGAGCTTATATCTTTTGGATCAAGTTTTTGGATTTTTGTCTTTTGGATTACTCTCAAATTTCAATTGTTTTATGTGAGACAGCATGATAACTACATTTTTTAGTTACTGGGCCTCCACAGAGGCCTGGGTCTTTGCTTACATACATAACTGTTTCGCTTCCTTTATTTGTTTCTTTTAGTTTTCTCCTCTTCCAACTTACTCCCCATAGTTTAGGTGTAGTGGAAACAAGAAAACAGCAAGCATGATCAAGAGTTCACCCTATATCAAAGATGATAATAACATGAGAAAACATGAGAAATAAAAACACGAGATGTTATTATCATGAGAAAAAACGTGAGAAAAAATAACGAGAAAAAAACAAAACACAAGGGATTATGTACGTTATGAACAAACCAGAAATTCAAGACAAGGCGGACAGCTACTGTTTCCCATTCACGCACCTCTTGGTCAGCCTCAGCGGCTGGATCTGTGAGGTTCTGGGTCTGCAAGTTCTGCTGCCTTAACACCCAAGGGCACTTGTTTCCCACTTAATGGGAGGCCTGGAGGAGCCAAGACGGGGAGGAGAAAATGAGGGGAGAGAAGGGAAACAAAGGTCCATTTTGCCTCACAGATAGCAGACTCCTTTGGGGATGTTCGGGAGGGATAAATACAGGGAATTTTTGTGGAAGCTTAAAGATTTATTTAATCTGGTACTTGAATAGAAATTGAGACCAAAAAATATTTAATTGTAAATAATATATTGCTGCTGTAAGGTTTACTGCTGTAACCTATACGTATAATAAAAGTGAGACAAATTAAATTATGTGAATAAAAACCTAACCCTCAATTCAAATGAGCACAGTGACTCAAAACACTATGAAGTGACTTAATGCAATCTAAACTAGAATTCGCCGATGTGTCAGATCATGGTATTGTTTATTTCTTCTTCTGATCGTATTCCATGTTTTCACTACATCTGACCTGAAACATCAGGTCAAATATTATGAAGATGCAAAGGTTACCAGTAACCATAATTGATTTGCTTTTAGATTACTGACTTTTTTTTCAAAATTGCAATTACAATAATAAAAACCATTAAAATAGAGGAGAAACTGTCAGTTTCAAAAATATAATTTAAAAATCTATTTTATTTTCCCATTTGTTGAAAAAAATTGAAGACAAATATGAAAACATAGTTTATTTTCTCATTCAGACTTTTATAGTTTATTTTTACAAAATAGCAGACAAAATTTGGTTCTTTGTATTGTTACAGAATATGTAACACATATCGAAATATATAATATATATATAGCACTTAAGTTATAAACACATAGCAAAATCAGCATCACTTAAACAGTAACCATGTTTTTCACATAATTAGGATTTCTGAGGAGATAAACATTGTTTTTAGCTTGAATATGTAAATAGTCTTTGATGCTTTATGTCAACTAATGTTTACAAAAGCTAGTCTAAAAACTACCACCACCCACAAAAGTGATGAGCTTTAGGAGACAATTTTGCTATCATGCCATAACAAAGACTTAACATTATAGAAAGCCAGAAGGAGCCGATCACATGAGTGCATTTGCAGTAGGTGGAACTACTTAATTGTGATTTAAAGATGTATGCCACGAGAATCCAAAAGGGATGCTTTTGAATCTTCAGTTGTTGCTTTCCTTATGATCCAACCATCTCTTATCCCAGGTTAGACCGTGCCCCTTGATGATCTAACTGTGATAGAGGGAAGTTGCATAGGGACTTTCTTCATCTCTGAAAAAAAGAAATACAACATAAATCAGTGTTTAAAAACTGTATTCAAAAAACTAGCACATACACTTATTATACAACTTAGTATCCACTTGCCAAAGAAGTGCAGGAGTATATCAACTTACAATATTGTGCATGCCTTGAAAGTTATATGAAATGCATATGCTCATTAAGGTGTACCTTATTGTCTTCATTTTATTGGTATCTCAGTTACTGGAATAAAGAATGGTACTTGTTATATATTTATATTTTATATGACATTTAAATAAAGTATATTAAATTATAAAATGATTATATTCATATTTATACTTGTTTATATGTTTTATATTCCACCTCTTTCTCAAAACAATTTGAGGTGCCTACAACAAAGGGCATACATGTAATAAAAGGAATAAAATACAAATAAAACATCAGGACTAAGGAAAGGAGAAGGATACAAATATATTAACTAAAAGAAATATTATAGTACTGTAGTTGAACTGAGCATCAATTTTAGTTGCAAGCTTCCTGGTAGCCAGGGCAAAAAAGATAACAGTAGGTTGTGCCAATTCTTGGAATCACAACAGAAAAAGGAAACCAACTCTACGGGAAAGAGAAAGGTTTGCCCTAGTACCAAATTAAACAACAAAGAAAAAAGCTCACGTAAGATCTTACGTAGGAAACACTCGGTAACAAATGATGAACAATGTCTTTGACAAGTTTTATGAGGATCAGTATTACAAGTATTCTCTAGGGCATTGCTTCCTTTGAAGGGGTCAACTAGATGTCTCTGCTTGGTTGCTCTCCAGAATGGCTAGCTGGACAGTTATGCTACTAAAGCAAAGAAGCAAATGCTTTATAATAAATAACAGAGACAAAAGCATTGGGACAGATAAAGCCTTATGCAGAATGCAGTAGCTCTGTTTAGACTTCATATACTAAAAATGCCTTTCTGGAATTAAAATATAGTTTTTAAAGCAAAAAAGGAAACGAAAAATTTACCACACAAGGACATCTTAAGAGTAATTTATTCAGCCTCTGACATTTTACCAGCATATTCTTACCTGCTCTCTTCTTTTAGTTTCTTGGCTGCCTGTGTTGATAACTTAATCTGTAAGTCTAGTCTCTGCAGGAAATCTCTGGCTGACACTTCCTCAGCCTGCACAGGCCGAACATCGGATTCTTGAGGACTGGGAGGAGAGAGGTCTTCCCCAGCTGCTACTGGCTCCTCTTCATGAGAAAAACTACCAACAGTTTCATTTTCTGGAGAATCTATTGAGTTAAGTCCATTAAACAACAAAGGCTTGTCTGATATAACTGGGATGTTCAAAGTCTTCTTCAGAAATATACAATCATTGGTAAACAGTTTATTTGCCCTTTTAATCTGCTCCATCTAAAATACAGAAAAGGAAACAGAGTCACATATAAATAAATCCAGAAGTAGGGCTTATTACACAACACAACTAAAAATATTCATGAGCAAAACGTGTACAATGCTTTCTCTGGAATTGAGATTCTTATTTCAGGATTAGCTACCTCCCCAGATATTTCAAGAGATGTCATGAAATTCTGTTTCCAATTTAAAAAAAAATAAAGACTAATTTCCCCTACTATATTATTTCCCCTACACGGCAGCTTTTACCAAGCAGCCTTAAATCTCTGAAGTTAAAAAATGTAGAATTTTTAGCACTTATTTAATAAATTCAATTCTTATTTTAATATTTCGATTATCTGATTAAAAAAAATTACTGGTGCTGTTATTTTACTTATGGAGCGCTTCCTATGTCTCTAGAATTGTGTTTGGTAAATATAATGGATACTGAGGTGGTACAGAGTAAGTACAATGAGAATTTGGAAGAATAGTGTAGACTGGGCTGCAGTCATTAAAAAAGTCCTCTCGGAAAAGGTGGGGTTCTGATTTTGATTCTTTTGACTTTAGATGGGCCTTGAAGAATGTGTAGAAATGGGACAGGGAAGGAAAGGAGGTGGGAGCACTTTACACACAGTATCTCATTTTATCTACCCTATGGAGTAGGTATTTGAAGATCCACTTTACAAACAAAAGAAACAAAACTCATAGAGATTATGTACCATGGAATCATCATACGACTGGCAGATGAAGAAGCTGGAATTTAACACAGGTTTCTATAACTTCAAACTCTTTCATAGCCTGTGGATGCCTCCCCTAAACCACAGAGACGGGGATGTGAGTGGAGGTGAAAGTGAGAATGGAATTTACATACGTTATCTCATTTAACCTTCATAACTGTTCCGCAATGTAGATATGATCTCCTTTTCACAAATGAAGAAAAGGAGACTCAAGTGAGTTAAGTGGCACCCCTAAGTCCACAATGCTGGTAAGTGCAGACAGGACGCAAAGTCTGCCGGTGCCAAGCGTGATGGAGAAATGCCTGCTCTTATGTTCATCACACTGTATTATGATAGCTGCAGACTTCTCCACCCAACTACCCTGGGAACTCACACTATGCCAGGCTCTTTACGTGTACTGTGTCACCGAATTTTCTCCATAACACTTTCTTGCGAGTGTGTAACCATGACAGTTTGGTATAATAGCTAAGCACACAGGCTTGGGAATCGGACAGACCTGGTTTCAGATCCCAGCTCCACCAACATGAACTGTCCGAACATGACCTTGTTACTTCTTGCATCGAGCCTGTTTCCTCATGCATAAAAAAGGTATTATTTACCCTTCACGGGCTGTCAGAAGGATTCAATGAGAGTTTACACATATACATGCATAGAGGAGATAGACAGACAGACAGACAGATAGATACATAGATACACAGGGATACAGGATATACATGAAAGAGAAAGAACATTTATCAGAGTGCCTGGCAGTAAATGGTACTTACTATTCTCCATTTTCCAATGAAGAAATTAAGGCATACAAGAGATTACTGATTTGACCAAGTGTATATGACTCTCTAAACGTATGAGCTGGAACTTCTGTCTGACTCTAAAGTCCAATGACCTCAGGATAAAAGTGCACGACTAATGGGACCAAATTATGGGGACCCTTTAACGCCAAATTCATCAGGAGTGAAAAAAATTAGATTTCTACTTCCAAGATCTTGAAAAAGCAATAGTCAAATAAACAGACCCTGTTCCTCCTGCTTTCTAACTATAAGCTGAACCCACACAAAAATGTACATTTAAAACTTTTTCTTTTAAAGATACTACGTTAAAGTACTTTTTGGGGGGGGGCGGTCTTTTGTGTTCTAGTTTCTAGTCAAAGGAGAGAAGGCAAGGGTGAGAGAGAGAACATGAATAGGCAGGTGCATTTTAGAGACAAAATTAAAACCTAAAAATCCTAAGTCTCTCTCATCTAGCTGAGGCTTAGATTTGAGAGACTTAAGTAATGTGAATACTTTATCCATAGCAAGTTCAAGTATATTCTAATCTGCCTTCAGTACTCTGTGTTTTTACCACCTCCTCCATCTCTCCATGGAGAGGGCTTCCAACGGCACTGAGCCCTCTCTGGCTCCAGGGTGAGTATACGACTCACTCCTGCCCTTTGGAGCATTACAGAGCTGTGGCTTTTGTGAGAGGTCACAGTCTCATCTCAGAATCACTCAGAGATGCGAGGAGACTTTTGCTGGGTCGGGAGGGGAAAGGTCCTCTATTTTTTCTGCTGGAAGGAGATGTGCCTGCAGCTGCCGGCAGCCATCCTGCCACCTCATGGAACCTGACAGCAAGGCCAGCTTGGAGGAGAGCAATCCCACTTCTGAATCAAAGCCTGAAGCCAGAACACCCCAGGACTTTTCAGTTTCATGAGCTAATAAATGCCATTTTTCGTTTTTGTGTGTGTGTTTTGTGTTTTGCTTAGGCCAATTTGAGTTAGGTTTTCTGTCACTTGTAAATGAAAGAGCCCTCACTGAAACAGTGCCCTCTGAAATGCTCATTGGCAGGGGCCTACAATTGCTAATAGTCATTGCTTTCTGGGAATGATGATGGAGGACAGAAACAGATGGGAGCACCAGGATCTGATTGCTGAGGCAGGAATGCGAACATCAAATGTAACCTGAATTCCCTCAGGACAGGAACTGTTATTTCTATAGCTCCCCAGGGTCAAACAAAGATCTTATACACACTAGGTGCTTAGGATGGATGGATGGATGGGTGGACGGATGGACGAATTGATACAGGTCAGAGGAACAGGCATAAAAGATGAATCCAGAGAAGTAACCAGAAAGCAGTAGTAAGTTATCTGTTATGTTGATTTTTCTCCCTTTAAGCCCACTCTGACCTCCCAATCCATCCACCACTCTTCTTGAGCCTGTTCTTGAGCCTGCACCACCCAAGCCCCCCTGTCCTTGGAATTCCAGTTGGTATTCCAAAGGAAGGCATCAGCAGAACGACCACACTGTGACTCCCACCGCTGCATCCCTGCAGGGCAGAGTTCCTGCCAAGCAGCCCCTCGTCCAAGGCTTCAGCTCTTATCAGTGTTAGGACACCACTCCTCCCTGGCCCTTCAGGCGCAGGGGAACATCTCCCTGCTGCTGACAGTCTCAGGTGCTTCATCATCCCTTGTTGGTTCCCTTAACCCTGCTCACACCTCTGTAAATGTCCCTTCATTAAACTCTCTTTGGCCACACCCTCTGGGCCCACTATCTGTTTCCTGCCAGGACCCTAATGATATATCTATCATTCAGAGCAAGACAGGCCATCACAGCCAGGCTAGGGGCCAATGACAGGGAGCACAAAACAAAGTGACTGAGTGAAAGGCTGGGTGTGGTCAAGGAGTCCACAGGGAGTGAAGGGCTGGGCTCCCTGGCTCCTGTGCATGCTGTTGTACTACTGATTCACTGAGAGAATTGCCTCTTTAACTGGTCTATGAGCTTCCTGAAGTCAGGGACTGTGCCGTCTCCATCTCAGTATCATCAGCAAGCATTTAAGGTGACGTTGACTCTTATGGTCTATACTCTAAGATGGCACACGAGGTGCCAGCATCAGGGACATCAGGGATGACTCTAAGGACAAGCAGATTGAAGTCTGAAGATGAAAACAGGTAAATGAGTTTAATATAAGGTAGTAGTTGGAAACATGGGCTCTGGGGCCACACTTGCTGGGTTCAAATCCTGGCTTTGCCACTTTCTAATCATTCTCTACATCTGTTTTCTTTTCTGTAAAGTAAGGCTAATATTAGTACCTTCCACAGAATATGATTATCGTGAGGATTAAATTAATTAATTCATATAAAGCATTTAGAACAATGCACAGCACACAGGAAGCACTCAAAAATGTCAGCAACTATTATCATTCAATTTGGTTAAAAGAGAGAAAGCAACAGGTAAGGGCAAATGCTAACCTGTATTCAGCAAACAAGAAGGAAGGAGGTAGGAATTTTCTCCCAATAAAAAATATTTCTCCCACAAAGTAAAACTACATAAAGAGAATTTCATGTAAACGAGCCCAGATGAATAACATTATACATTGCCACTGCCCTGAGGCGTGAGCTTTAAGTTTTTTCAAAAGGTAACTAATTTGCTTCTTTACTTGTTCTCCTTTATAAGCAATGGCTTGAACCAACTGCATAGGCTCCAAAATCTGTTACCTGTAGTAAAGTTCAGGAATGAAACCAGCCATGAAAAAGCCAGAAAAAAAGCATTCCAGCCAGAAGGAACAGCTGCAATGCCCCAGAGCAGGAAAAAATTGTGTGGCTGAAGTGCAGGGAGTAACGAGTAAGCTCCAGGCCACACAGACAGCGCCTTGGATGTCAAGGTAAGGAATCGGATTTTATTTTAAATGCGACAAGAAGCCATTGGGGAGTGAAGGGAGGGGGTGACACGATCTGATTACAGTCAAATATCATTTTGGCAGCTTTGTGGAAAATGGACTGGCAAGAAAGAGGCATTAGTGGAAGAAGAAGCCCAGTTATGGAGGAAACCACAGCAGCACAGATAAGAGATTGTAGATAATCCCAAACAGTAAAATGGTGTTTTAGGAATGCTTTATACTTTTATCTGAACGTATATGGGTCTAATGTTCTGGGACTTCCACCTCGCGTAAAACTAAGAAAAGTCATGATCCAATCCAAGGAAGAGCTGGAAAACTCTACAGCTTTCCCACCTGCCCTCTGTTCAACGTTTCCTAATACCCGATTAATGCTGAGAAGAGATTATGACCTTTTCAAAGTGAGGCAGAACTACTCCCTGTTTCTCGGGGGCGGATAAGTAGGGGGAGGTATAGCCATCAAATGCTTTCATTTCAGAAATCTCTCCAATCAGGACTGAACAGCATGACTCACTGAAATTTACTTCTGGTCACTAAGAAACAGATTACAGAATAATTAAGAAAAAGCTAACAGGATGGCCACAAGGTCGACCATGATGAAATTAGGTAGAACAAGTGCCATCAATAACTTAAAAACAA